TGTGCAATAGACTTACCTCCACGTGGTGCACCCTGGGCAACGTATGCTCATACGGCAAAAAAGTCTATTAATCGGCAGTTGACTTCTGACTTCAAACTACCAAGACCCCGCCGCATTTCATATTCGACTAATTCCACAGTACGCACATTTTTCTACCTTTGTGTCTGTCTCTTACTTCTGTGAATCATTATTCTGTCCCCCCTCTCGACTTTTTGCCACTTTGGCGTTCCTCTTCCTTTCTGTGAAGCACGAAGTCAACTAAAGGGCTAATGATACCTATCATAACGCCTGCCGTTTGAAATAAATTTTTCGGTTTTCAGGTGGAAAGTTGATGAACTTGGCTCAAGAGTCTTGGATCCCAAAAGTAAAAAACCTATTCTGCAGTTTGTGGCTGTGAAACGAAGGGACAACGGGGAATGGGCATTACCTGGTGTAAGTGTCATTACCATTTATTTCTGATCAAACCTCACATGATGGCTATTTTGTTTTATAATATGACAGTACTTTTAATAAAGTGGTTATTGTTCTGTCTATTCACGTGATATCATGGTCCAGTACACCTGGAAGAACTTGTTTTGCATAGATTTTAATATTAAAGCTTTTGTGTTTTTAAACGTTTGGGAAAAGATTTATGGGGTGGGGCGCGGGGGATGGTGAAACGCTACGCATTTCCATTCGTATAAGGATACCAAAGCTTCGTTTTTGGTCTGCTGAGTTAACTATCATTATCGATCATAAGCAATATTCCTTGTTATGTTGATGAGCATTTTATTGCATATTGTAATACCTTTCCGGGTAATATTAGTTCCCAATTGGTGTTGGTTACGTAGTTATGGACGCGCCATCTTGAAATAGTTGTTTTGGAGTGCTGTGCATCAACTTATTGGGCATATTCTGCATCAGATTTCACTGCCAAACTTCCACTCAGGGAGTTCCCACCCAACTGCAATTCGATTGGCTATTGGCCTCCATTTCAAGGTCTTATCATTGATTTCGTATGCCTTGCTGTAGTTGTGGAGCAAGATTCACGTTGAAATTAGCTGCTCATCTGGTTGTATTTCTTAAGCACTTCGTTGGTATTTTCGCTTTAGCGTGCATTTTTCTCACCTAATGAACAACTCGTTATTTGGTTCCCGTAGGGTATGGTCGATCCAGGTGAAGAAGTGTCCGCAACACTGAAGAGAGAATTTTCTGAGGAAGCGATGGCTTCGCTTGATGCATCCGAAGATGAAGTGGCGAAAATTCGATCCCAAGTTAACAGCGCCTTCAGCAATGGACTTGAGGTGAGGTCCGATCGATCATAATGCCTAACTCATTGTGGAATACTAATTGAATTTAAACGACTGTAGCATGCTTTCAAATCAGAAATGTATTTCAGTGCTACTTGTCAACTTTGCAACACCATCAGCTCTCTCTCTCAAAGGAAACGCCTTTTTCTTAATTACTTTAATCACTTGATTGATTTAACGTTAAAACAACTCAGAGCAACATTGCCTTTTACCTTAAGTGAGTTTTTCTTTGGATTGTCGCCTTTTGTAGGTCTATCGGGGGTATGTGGATGATCCTCGAAATACGGACAACGCGTGGATGGAAACTGTGGCTGTCAATTTTCATGATGAGGATGGAAGTGGGCTTGCCAAATTCAAGCTTTCCGCGGGTAAGCAGTACTTTCTCTTTTTGTTGAAGCAGTACTCATCAAGGTGTCTCACAACGCATTTCCCTTAACTTTTTAACTAATTAACTAGTTTGTCAAGTTCTCCTCTTTTTTTCGGATTAAGAATCTACGTATGTTTACTGTTATGGTTAGACATATGGATTGGGTTTACGAATTTGATCTCTTCTCTTTAGGGGATTTTCAATGCTGTTGTAGTCAAGGGATTAATTTCACCTAATTTACACTCTTGTTTAGCAAAGTAAAATAACAATAGGTTACAAGGGCTTGAAAAAAGGTGAATTTGTCTTACCTATACTATTAAGAAGCATAATAGAATATTTTCGCCTCTCTCTCTCGAGAGAGAAACTAGCAAGCCCCTTCTCCCATGGATCATCGGTCTTTACACCTGTATGTATAATACCACTTTTTGAGAGCCTGTTGCTACTATCATTGGCTAACCCGCCAACCAGCCATTTATCATATATACATATCTTGTGAATAGGACACAGTAGTTTGAGCTACACGTCTCTAGTTTCGTTTATTTTGAATCGGAATCGCTTTGGCTTTAATAGAAGTCAACCATTCAGTGCTTTATATGATTAGCTGTATTAAGCTTCTAACTGTATGGTCTGAATCGGTAACAAAAAAACATTCTACATCCGCTTAAATGACGACCTCTATTTACTAAGTTAAAAGTCGGAAGAGTGGCTGAGCAACAAACTATAGGGTCATGTTTTGGTCAATTTTTGCCATGGCGAACAAACTATAGTGAGGTAACCTGTTAAAACAATTTAGAATGCTACTGCCAGTGAGGCGTCTACAAATTGTCGAGGTCAACGTCCACTTTATTGGAGAAATAACCATGTTTGCACTTCACCAGTTGCCTACCTCTGCGTTTTGATTATTCTCACTGTCGGTTTTCCTCATTTTTATAGGTGATGATGCAGCTGCTGTACGATGGGTGGATGTTGATCCAAATTTGGAATTGTACGCTAGTCATCGAAGCTTTCTCGAATTGACTGCTAATCTACATGGCGCCTTTTGGAGTAATGGGAAAAGATAACTTTCTATCTTTTATTAATTTTCAATTTACTAAACATTTTAATTATATTGTGAGTATTCTTGCTTGCTTTATCTACATCAAATGGATTTGCAACTGCAAAATTAAATAATAATTTGATATGTATGTTTCCAAAAAAATGTTGGAAATGCAGTCGTATTAATTAATTAAGCTGCATAGCTAAAAAAACATTTGTAATTTGAAGATGGTAGCAAGCGTAAAAAAACAAATTATGCATTGGCAAGAAGAAGCAAGTGTTCCTGATCCGAAAATTGAGGCGGCTTTTCGGATGGATCTGTGTATTCCAGATTCACATTACAGTGAGACAACCAACATATTACTTAAACTGCCATATTTTTCACCATTAATAAAATCTAAGACAGCATACCCAACAAATTCAATAGCAGATATCTTAGGCGCAATGGCAAACCAAAATCCAGGATATTTTTTATTGAAATCAAGCATATTTCGACCACCAAAGCTTAATATAACTTTAGCTCCAATTGCATAACAATCTTACAGGCCAAGAAAATGTTAATGCAGGTGCTTACTCTGAACTATTCTCTTTCTTCGCAGCAGCGGAGAAAAATCGGTCCGAATTCGAAGGAGAAATAGAGACCATTAAGATAGCACTAGGCCAATTGTGCTGCCTGGATACAAAATTCACCGAAGCGGAATTTCTTTCGGTCACACAGTCAGCAATAAATTCAACTGAAAACAGAGAACTCAACAAAACAGCCAAGATACACGAATGTAAAAATTGTATCAGTTACTGAGAGAAAAAAACAAAACAATAGTTCTTCAATGCATCCCCGGACACTGAGGCATAATAGGCAATGAGATCGCTGGCACATTTGCTAAGATGGGGACCACAATATTGTGAGGCATAGACCTGCAGATGTTTTTCCACACATGATGTCCTCAATCAGGATAGAATTTAAGACTTCAAGAAGCAACGAATTTGAAACTCGAACAAAGGAGAAGTAGTGGACAGCCGTACACTCCAAAATAGCCGACTGGACAAGAATCGAAGCTGTCACAGAGTTTAGACTGAATACCGGACTCGATTGCCCTGCGGAACTCCTTCACAGAATAGGAGAATACTCTCAGCCAACATGCCTCCTATGTTACCCACAAGGGGAAATGGAGAAGATCCACCTGATTCGGTACCCAGCCCTAAAGACAACGACAGAATCCCAGAGATACTGGGAAGCCAGGAGCCAACTAAGGGACTAGTGACAAAATCATAATGACTGCCATTTGAAATAAAAATAATTTTCTATAAATAAGACAATATAAATATATGTAGCAGTCACATCTTGGTAGTCAAAACTATTGGCAAATTTAAATATCGATTTTAAATCATATGTATAAATTTTTTGACTTATTTTCTGCTTCCGAAATTCGTTTAAATCAAACAAAATGCGAGGTTAAGAATTGTCCGCAACGTGCTATTGGCCAAATTATCTTCATTTTTATTCATGTTTTTCTCTCATAAGCTATCATAATCTTGAAATTTACTTTATTTAGATCCAAATGTCTAAAAAGAAGACAGACGTTGCCGAAGAGATAATTAGACGTGCATCTGGATATATTCCTGCATTCGAAGATGTTTTTACTGAAGAAGGCTTTTACATTTTCTTTGCTTGTCTTGCCGTAACAACGTTTTTGATTGTATTTACATGTGCGTATTTCTTTGACGTTACTATCACTGATGCTGGCGATTTTGCTCCACGTAGTCAGATTAAGAAACCTCGAAAGAAGAAACTTCCAACTTATTCTAGCTGATATTATTGTCCCCGACAACACTGTCCTATGTGCAATATTTATTTACTAGCATTTACTCGCCCAAAATGTCTGTGATTATAGTAGTTTATGGCACAGTCATATTACTTGCCGCTATCTTAAACGACAAATCGATCTTGATTGCTTTTGTTTGTCTTTTGTCAATATAATTATCTACTCTTTTTGTAATGTTGCCCAAATCGGCATCTTTTGTTTACCGATTAATTAGCTTACTTGATCAAATATATTTATGGAGTTTATTCTTAAATGCACCGCTCTTGCTATTCACATACTTATTAAAATGGAATCCTATATTGGAATCTGGGTATCTCACAAATTATTTCCAGAATTGGGCTTCATGTGGTTCGTTGATGAGTGTTCTTGCAGCTATCATCACAATTAGTTGAAGAAACGATTCTCTAAGGCAAAATGATTATTATGGCACGAGTCCGAGCTATTATTCGGAGAGGAGAGTGGAAGGGTATGAAAGTAATTGTATTGTGGTAAAATTAAGTAAAGCGAGTTCCACCAAGATGGATTGTGCAGTGCTATTGGCGTTCCAGTTCAACGAATTTGCGGATAGTGCTATAACTACCCAACACTATTTGCTCTCGGTTCTACTGTTACATTGGGGGTTTCGTTTGGTTCCAAACCAGTGTATCTATTCTTTAATAGCCTTCAGTAAGCATTGCAATTTGTATGGTTCAACTTATTTTTGCAGGATATTTTCAATACTCGAAGCATGGAATAAAGTGGGCTGGTATTTTGAGGCTCTAAGATAGACGTTCATCCGTCTCATACTTTCGGGTTGACAGTGGGAAACTATAATTCAAAACCGTGACAGTCTGGATTGGAAACTGTTGAGCCAATCATCCATGGTTATGGAGTAACCAGTACAGCAGTCTAAAACTGCCAAGTGTTAATGGAAGTAAAATAGACATGTTTTGATAATGATAAGATTTCTAAGTTAAACACCTAGCACTAGTGCAATTGTCAATTCAATAGAACCCAAGTTCATTTATCAAAGCGTTCACAAACCCACTTCTTGGGTGAAATGCCATCCATGAGCCCACTTGGTGAGCTCGGTATACACTATAGTAGTTAAACTAAAACAGTGGGATTGTCCAATCCACGCACTAGGATGTGCATTGAAGGGGTGACCCCTTATAGCGAATAAGCAGTGAGAAATGCAGCAACGACAGTTAAAAAATTTTACACACAATTAGGTTGCCCACATAAAATAATCGGATATTCAAACTTTTAGTTACGCATTACCAATAACAACTCAAGAAGCCAAACAGTTTGATTCCAATATGGAAGTATCTTGACAAGGATAATTGCTAGTTAGGCAACAATCTTTCATAATGAGCAAACAAATATAAAGGGATAAATATATACAAACAGGGGATACCAGTACACGATTTCAAACACTTCATTAGGGAGATGCCGCACTTTTTGAACTCGATAAATCCAGCAGATTATTTGTCAAATCCGCAGGATTACTAACATCCGGATCCACATCTCGTGGTTCAGGACGCGGTGTCTGAGGCGTTTTCGATGTCACCGTAGGCGGTCTTCTAATCACCCCAATATCTGAGGGTAGCCTTTTCGGAGTCGAACCCAGGCCACTAGACCGGACACTTGAATTTGGCCGTCCGCCGAATGCAAGAGAAGCACCACTTGATGTACGGGATAGCAGACGTCTGGCCGCGGGTGAAAGAGCGATTTTAGCCATTGCAGAAGCATGGGGACTCAGTAGACCTATTCCGGCGGCAGATTTCGCTAATTTCATTGCGTCTGCACGACCCTTTGCTCGTTGCCGACCCACCTTATCGGCCAATTCGTGGGCAAGTGCTTCACGTTTTGAAGGAGATGGCAGGCGGAAAGAGGAAACCATAGGAGTATGACCAGAGGCTTCATCTAGCCGATATGGGGTCGATTCCATTTCACCCCAAGTCATGAGAGGCGTGGCTTCACCACCAATGCTGAAGGGAGTAGCGGAGGGATTGGAATCGATGAAACGGAAGCCACCAACATTTGGAGTTGACATTGGGCTCTCATTTCCGACTATCTCTTTCCCATCAATTCCAAAACGACCCTAAAGTGATACAATGAATGACAATTTATATGAAAACGATGATAATGTAAAAATTGAAACATTGACTCTTCCAATCCAAATAACCTCAAACTGCAGTAAATAGGCATTGAATATGACTCCCATCAACTTTTACGCGATTTGATAAGAAAACTCCATTCTGTCTCATACTCAGGATGCAGAATAAACAGAAACACAGCCCCACTAGCAACCAAATTGAATAGACTTCCAGTCTTTTGACTTAAGATGGTATAGTGGGGCTGACAACTTAGCCGTTATTGAGAAGTGAACTATTGCTACTAGCTGGAGACATCTTAGAAAAAGCAGAAAAGTCAATGAAATAAGATGTTAGTTAGTGGAACATTTCAAAAATATAACTAGTTAAGAAATATCTCGGGACTTTGAATGTACGTATTCCAAGTTAAAAAGAACAGACCATGCAGGACAGAATCTATTCGATATCGTCTAGTCTTTTTTGCATGAAAAATCGAATTCTCAAATCATATAAAGGTTACCACAGTATTATGGAAGTATTATTCATTTCTTCATTTCAGTGAAGATTTCCACAGGCACTTGTATTTTAAGATTCTTAAAAACTAAACCCTTTCGAACTGCAAGAAATGGTATATCTTGCAAGGTTAATTCTTCAAACGCTATACTCTTTCAGATACCTAGTTCAATAACCAAAAAAGTTTAAAAAAGGCAAATAAGACTAAGTTCACACTTATTCGGGGACTAATTACAGAACGCGTAGAACAAGATGCTGATCTTCAGAGAGCATAGACAGGAGAGAACAAGGTCACTAAAGAGCGAAATTTCAATAATGTACTATTTGAAACATGAAATCTTCATGCACAAATTTAGAAATCGGGTAATAAGTAATTAAAATAACAGGGTTGATAAAATATTATTTACTCATACGAAAACTTACCACTCTATTAGCAGCCGCCGGGTTAACAAACTTTCGGCGATCCTTAACTGGAGCCAAAGGCATTTTAAACCGACTATTTTCCGGACAAATTCGTCGCTCCCTATTAAAGTGTTCAGTTAGTTCATGTGGAGTCAGTGGTGCCCCGTCAGGGTTGAAATGGACAGAATTGTGACTTGTCAAACTCTTAGCAGATGATGAAATGGAAGATTTCAGAGAGGATGAAGTTGCAACAGTCTCTTTGCTGGAAGATGGACTCGCTTCAATAGCAAGCGAAGAAGATGCATCAGCAGCTAACT